CATAAAGATTGGAATATGGTTGTTCACCTCAAGCACGGGATCTTTATGATATGGGTGATGGTGACATTATTTACGACAGTGAACCCTTCCAAACCTCGAATTTTGAAGACTTCTTTCCTCAAGGAGATGATAATTTGCCAATTATCAGATATACGTCTTTTCTTAAATTATCTAAATAATTAACTACTAATTACTAATTTCTTCTAAATACATTATAATTCTAACAATTTTTTTTTAAATATGTCCTTTCAGGCCGGATGATGATGAATAATAGTAGCATCCAAAATTTTTATTATTAAAAAAAAATTTCCTTCCATAAATACATATGTATAAATTAAAATTGGTATAGCTTTTTAAAAAATAAAAAAATTTGTAGCGGACAAATTTATTACTAGAAATATTCCCCCGACAAGTACATATATGTATAAATTAAAATTGGTTTAGATTTTTAAAAAATAAAAAATTATAATTTGTAGCGGTTATATAACTGCTACAAAATCTAACTGCTACAAATACTAGCGATTAGCTGTACACTAGAAAATGACAAACAACTACAAAATGCAATAAAACGCTACAAAAAAACCGTTACAAATGTGTCGCTGATTTCTATAAATATCATATCATCTCTACATTCATTTACTCCATCTATTTTCTTTCCTCTCCTATTCTTCCTCATAATTCTCTCTTTTTTTCTTACTCTCTCATATGGTAGTTTCTTTCTCTTCACTGTATGGTAAGTGAATTTTATTTTATAAGTTATTGTATCTTTTATTTGTTTTTACTTATAATTTACTAACATATTTATTTCTCTTTTTCTTTTAGATTTTTCTTCTTTACACTTGTCATGCCCTCCTCAACTGATTCAAATACTTCTCAACAAAACACTTTAGGTTCAATATTACAAACTATCTCATCTTCAATTCAACTATCTTATTAAATTAAATTCACTTCTTTTGACACACTCATAATTTAATTACATATTCTTTGTTGCAAAATTCAAATATATAAAATGTAATACATAACTAATTATACAAATTAACAAAAATTCTCCAACATAATCTATTTAATGGTTTTTAAATTTATTATATTATATTTTCTAATAATGAAAAACCATAAATTTTTTTTCTGCCTCGAAAAACATTTCTAGGGGTTCAAAACCGCTAGAAATAAAAAAAATAGCGGGAAAATTTCGTGAAATTAAAATTTTGCGTCAAATTTTCTAGCGGTTCAAACTGCTAGAAATGTTTTGGTGCCAATTGAAAAATTTAATTTGCCGACAAAATTTGATTTCCCACTAAATTTCTAGCGGTTCTGGAACTGCTAGAAATTTTGGCGTCATAATGCAAATTTTTAATTCCTGGCAAAATGAGATTTGGTTCAGAATTTTGTAGCGGTTATATACCCGCTACAAATTTTTTCCTCTTTTCTAGCGGTTTCTGTTTGCTAGAAATTTTCTCTCCTACTGCTAGCGTTTTCTAACGGTTATTAAATTGTTAGAAAATTTCTAGCGTTTTGACCATACCATGTAACGGTTGCCATAACCGCTAGAAATTTTTTCTTGCGCCTGATTTTCTAGCGGTTTTTGTAACCGCTACAAATATTATTTTTCTTACTTTAATCGCTACAATTGACATATTTTTTGTGGTGTAAGTCTCCAGTAGTCATATCAAAAGCAGAGAAGTTGAGTTGTGTTAATTCTCCCAGCCAAGGGGAAGATCTGTCAAAGGCCCTAGTTGTGTATGGTAATCTGTCACTGCTATCAGAAGTTACTAGGGGAGTGAGTACGATCAGGTTGAAGAGGGAGCTGGAGGATGCAGTTGAAAAGGAAAAATTAAAAAGAAGAAAGTTCAATTTTGATGATGATTCACTAAAGGAAAAAAAAAAGATGAGATGAGTGAAAAGAGGCCTGTGGAAAGAAGTGTGAGGATTTTGAAGAGGAGGATCAGGAAAACGAAGGTAATAGGCTGTAAACCTGATTCTGTTTCTAGTATTCTCAGTAGTCTGGGTGTGGATGTCTCTAAAGAGTGCAGTAAAGGTTGTGGTAATGGAATAGTGACTGAGGGTGATAGTGGCTGGCCTCAAACAGCCACCAAAGAGTTATGATTTACTTAGTTTGGAACTGTCAAGGATTGGGAAGGTCCTTGACAGTCAAAAAGTTGAGGGAAGAAAACTTTAGAAGAAATCCCTCAGTGATATTCCTAATGGAGACTAGAATGAAGAAGAAAAAGGTTGAAAATATTAGAAAAAAGTGTCAAATGGATGAGTTGGTGGTAGTAGAGCCGCAAGGTCAGAGTGGAGGTTTGGGTTTGATGTGGAAGAGGGAGGTTGTGATTAATGTTTGGTATTGCTCGAAGAACATTATTCACACAAGCATGGTTTTTGCGACTAAAGGGGTACCTAACTATGTCACTTTTGTGTATGGTGCACCTAAAGAGGAAGGGAAAATGCTTGTGTGGAATAAGATGAGAGACATTGCGTCAAGGATTGATGAGCCTTGGCTCTGCATAGGGGACTTTAATGATATTGCGGCTTACTATGAGAAAATTAGTAGCAGACATGTAAATATGAGAAGAATGTTGAATTTTCAGGGTATGCTATCAGATTGTGATCTTCTGGATCTGAAATTCAGTGGACCTCATTATACCTGGAATAATAGTAGGATGGGCAGTGCACATGTGAAAGAAAGGTTGGATAGGGTTGTGGCAAATGTATATATTTGTGAAGCTTTTCAGAATGCTTTGGTTTTGCACATAGAGCCAGTGGGCTCAGATCATCATATGCTATGTGTTGATTGCAATTTTAAGCATACTCGTGTGCAAAGGCAATTCAGATTTGAAGCATATTGGATGGAACATGTGGAGTTCTTGAAGGTAGTTAGAGAAGGCTGGAGAATGGATGCTAGTGACTTCATTGACAAAGTTCAAGAACTACTATGCAGGTTGGCAAAGTGTAAAGAGGCTTTGACAGAATGGGGAAAAGCCACCTTTCTGAATGCAAGAAAGTCCCTTGAGCAGTTAACAAGGAGGCTGGAAGTCTGTAGGAGTGGTGTGTTAATGGAAGATAATAAAAATGAGATTGATGATTTAATTAAGAAGATGGAGGAAGCGTGGGACAGAGAAGAAGTGTATTGGTGGCAGAGGGCACGTGTGAAATGGTTGGAAGATGGAGACAGGAATACCAAATTCTTTCACTCAAGTACAATCCAAAGAAGAGTAAGGAATAAAGTTGTCAAACTGAGAGGAAATGGAGGATTATGGTTGGAGAAGGAGGAAGAAATTAACAACACCTTCATTAGGTTCTATAATGATCTTTTTCTGTCAAAGGGGTGTACTGGAGTGGATGAGGTTTTGAGGTATGTGCAGAGACAGGTCACTGCTGAAGATAATTTGCATTTGGAAAGATCAGTCACAAGGGAAGAGATTAAGGCTGCAGCCTTCCAGTTAGGAGGAGCAAAGGCGCCTGGACCTGATGGCTTTTCTGGTATGTTTTATCATACTGCGTGGTCTGAGGTTGGAAATGATGTGATAGACATGGTGAGTGATTTTTTTGAGAATAATGCTAAATTAGATAATCTGAACTGTATGAATGTGGTCTTGATCCCGAAAGTTGAAAATGCTGAAACTGTAGGGCAATATAGACCTATTAGTTTGTGTAACTTTGCTTATAAAATTGTCTCCAAGGTACTTGCTAATAGAATGCGTGGTGTATTGGCAAGAGTGATCTCTAATAACCAGAGGGCTTTTATTGAGGGAAGATTGATCCAGGATAATATTGTGATTGCTCATGAGGCTTATCATTACTTGAAAAACAAAAAGAAGGGAAGAAAATTTGAAATGGCTGTTAAAATTGATATGAATAAGGCTTATGATCTTCTGGAATGGGACTTTATTGAGCTTGTGATGAAAAAGATGGGATTTGGGGAGAAGTGGGTGGGATGGATCATGGAATGTGTTAGGTCTGTTAAAATGTGTTTGGTGATTGGAGGAAGAAGGATTGCAGATTTGAATATGGGTAGGGGTATTAGGCAGGGTGATCCATTATCTCCCTTCCTTTTTATTATGGCTGCAGATGTTCTTTCTGTGATGGTTCAATGGTATGTGGATCATGGGAAGCTAAAGGGTATTAAATTGGCCTCTAAATGTCCAGTGCTTTCTCACTGCTTTTTTGCAGACGACTCCCTCTTTTTTGTTAAAGCTGAAAAAAGGAATTGCAAGCTGTTGAAGAGAATCCTGGATGACTATGCTTTAGCTTCTAGGCAATCGATTAATATTGATAAATCCTGTATTTTTTTCTCAAGGAATACAGTTGATTCGGTCAAGCAGGATGTCTTCCAGTCTCTTGGCATAAGAGGTACTTCTGAACCTGGAAGTTATCTTGGTCTATTGGTTTTATGGGGGAAATCTAAGTCTGAGGCTCTGGTTTTTGTAAAGAAGAAAATGAGTTTGAAACTATAGGGTTGGAAACAAAGATTGTTATCTTTTGCTAGTAGGGAAATTATGATGAAAGCAATAGCTAATGCCATACCAATTTATCCTATGTCTTGCTTCAAGTTTCCCAAAAAAGTGTGTGTAGAGTTGGATAGAATGATTATGGGATTTTGGTGGGGACAAAAGGAGTTGGAAGGTTGGATTCATTGGAAGTCCTGGAGTTGTATGTGTAGTGATAAGGGGGAGGGTGGTATGGGCTTTAGAGACTTCATGAAAATGAACAAGGCCTTACTTGCCAAAACTGCTTGGAGGTTATGTCAAAATCAAAATGATTTGTGGTGTAGGATACTAAAAGACAGATATTTCCCAGATTCTGATTTTATGCAAGCCAAAAGGGGTAATAACGCATCATGGGGTTGGTATAGTATTTTGGAGGGCCGACAGCTTCTTTAAAAAGAGTTAATTTGGAAAGTGTACAATGGTGATAAAATTAGTCTTTTTTAGGATAAATGGTTGCCTGAAGTCAAGGGCAATCGCCTGAAGCAGAGGGTACTGTCTAATGATATGAAGAAAATGAAGGTAGATGATATAATTGTTGACCAACAATGGAACTTTAGCCCTGTGGAGAATATACTAGATGATGAGGAAAAGGTGTGGATTAGTTCGGTAAGAATACCTGTTGTGCAGGGGGTTGACAAGTATGTTTGGTTGGGGAGTAGGGATGGCACTTATCCTGTGAAGCTGGGTTATAAGGCTACTGGGAGGGAGGAGGGTAGTATGGTAGAGGAGAGACCTAGCAGCTCGTATAAGGCTTCTAAGAGATTGTGGAACAACATTTGGCAAATCTGAGTACCTCCAAAGGTTAACCATTTTCTTTGGAGAGTTGCGAATGGAGTGCTGGCAACTAAAGCAGAACTTTTTAAAAGGAAGTGTGCTAATAATCCAATGTGTAGCATTTGTAAGGTGAGTGTTAAATCTACTGAGCATGCTATTTTCTTATGCCCCTGGGCCCAATCATGCTAGTTTGGTTCTCCCTTGGCCATGAGATTTGTGGAGGGTAATATGGTCAGGTTGGACAGGTGGTTGGAGGAGTGGTTGCCAGGGAGAATGAAGTCGGATGAATATAACGTTACTCTGTTTGCTTGTTTGTGCTGGAATATTTGGAAGGAAAGGTGTAGCAGCATTTTTGAACATATTGAGGTTAATGCTGTGAACTGTTTATCTAGAGCTATCAGATTGGCCAATGAATATTAGAGTCAGTTGGAGAGAAAGGAAAGAAGGAAAGGGATCGTTGATTCGGATGTCAGATTATTATCCTGGCAAAGGCCTCAGGCAGGGGTTGTAAAGATCAATGTGGATGGTGCTTTTTGTCCTAGCAGGAAGTGTGCGAGCATTGGTCTGCTTGGTAGAGATAGTGCAGGAAGGTTCCTAGGAGGAGTGGGGAAGATGGTGGTTGCTGATTCTGCTTTCATGGCGGAGTGTTTAGCTTTTATGGAAGCTCTCCAGATTAAGGACATCTTTAGTGAGGGTAAAGTTGTGATTGAGACTGACTCCCAATTGTTGTTTAAAAGGCTTAGAAGTGGTGACACAAAGGGATGTGAGTGGAACTGTACTGACGTGCTGAAGAAGTGCTTGGAGATTGGAGGTTCTGCTAGAGATTGGTCGATGTCCTTAGTTTCTCGAAAGGGCAATAATGTTGCGGATCTCATTGCAGCTATGATAATGAGGGATATGGTACCACAAGGATGGCTTGACAAGCCACCATTCTCTCTTTTGGAAGTTTTGAGACAGGATCTTCAAAATCCTAGCACTGATGCTGGCGTGAAGAAAGGAATCGGCTGAGGTTATTTTGCTTATTACTAGAGTTTGTATTCCTTTTTTCTGATTTTCAATAAAATGGACTAATATTTCAGCTAAAAAAAAAAGAAATGGAGGGAGTAAATCGAACTAGTTCTAATGGATTGTGTTTTGAAATAACAGTTTGGTTTAATTATTTTCTTCCTAGTGAATCCTACCTCTGACATTCGTATGCGCATTTAATAAACAAGAAGCAGGATTAGGGCATGCTGACAGAACAAACCTGTTGGATCTGTGCTATTCATGAGGAAGCTGTAGAACAAACAAAAGCATATTCTTCAATAAAGCCCGCTGAACACTTCCCCAGAAATCTTGTCAAAAATACATGACAAAGTGAAACCTTTTCTAGTGGTCTTGTCAACTTCATTAATCTAAACAATTCCTCGTTGAATTCGATATGAATTAGTACGGGTTGCTGGTTCCCAGTAGTCTATATTATTATGTCATTTGTCATATTAAATACAACGTGTATGTGTGGATGCTTTATTGAATAATATGTATATGTGCACTTCTGTTTCTATATATATATATATATATGTATGTATATGTATATGTTTCTATGTCGTGTATGTTCATCTTTTATAAATGAAACTATTTTGAATGCTTTGTTTGCTGCATGAGTTATACAACTACTTACTACACACACGAGCGAGGAAATAGGCAAAGACTAAACGATGCTCTGTTTAGCCCGGTTTTGCTGTGGGGAAATTAGAGGTAATCGAAAAAACGAAACTTTGAAACAATTCGAATTCGAAGTAACGCATTGACATGATTGATCAGGTAAATAAGTTTGGGCCAATGTGTTCAAACAACAGGTGGCTTTGGTGAGACAAAAAGCTCCTGATTTTATTACTATTTTATGATAGATGGAGTATTATTGTTCATATTGGTTAAAGATATGACGGTGGCTCCAATAAGTGATATATATGAACAATGATCTGCATGACGATTACATTTATTTCCCTCTTCTGAAAACCCCAGGCGATATGCGAATTGGAAGCGAAATTTGCAAAGTGACAAAATTTATTGTTGTTCTTTCATTATGTTGACTGAACTGATACGGCTTGTAAAGAACGTTTGACCGTTAGCCAGCTCAACAAATATTAGCAATTGTGTTGTGCCATGTGTTAATGCAGCTTCAATATTATTTGAAGATATCAAGTTAGCAGATTTAAATACTCTTTGTTAGGTGTTCAGATACAATCAATTAGGATGAAGATAAATATGCTACCTCTATTAATTTAAAAATATTAAGAAAATTAGTTAAATTAGTCATTTGTCACTAATATATGTTGATGTCTCCAAACTATACTCTGCAATTATGTGCATTAGATTATTAGAATTATATCTTGATGGGAATCCTTTATAATCAATAGAAATATTTTAGGAAAAAATGAAAAACAAAAAGGATTGAAATCTTATAGTCAAATTAAAACTAACTCTTATACTAAAGATGAGAGGTAATGATCTAATCGAATATTATGAAAGTATCATAGACGTGTTAGTAGTTTTGTAACTTTATTTGGACATTGTACGATATAAACACTTGAGGGGATACATAATTAAGTGATTGACTATCCAAACAGAAAAAGGCAACTGCATGGAGCTTATCTTAAGAGCGTGTGAAGGTTGGTCATATGTATAAATCACTTCATATAATTTTTTCTGTAAATGTACGAATTTGTCCTTATCAAATTATTGACACTCACTATTCCTTTGCATGCCTGGTGTAATAATATCCTGCCGTATTCGCCTGAAGTTTTGCTTTATAGAGAAACGATCGGCACACATCACTATCTTAATAAAAATGATTGTTCCCTATCTTAAAAATAATTAGTTTACCAAAGAGAACAATGCATTTAACTTCTTGTTTATTGGTATTTATATGTGCACAATGCATTTTATTTATTTACTTTCCACCGTCAACAAATGCAAATAGTGTCTTTAATATTTTCAATAATAGTTTTATTCTTAAAGTATTAAAAGGAATAAAGTTGAAAAATATTTAAATTTTAAAATAGAATTAATAAGATTTAAGGGTTTTTTAGTATCAATAAAACATGTTAAAACTGAGTTATAACTAAGACAAGAGGAGTATAAACTAAAATTTAATTAAAATTTGCTAATGTGATTAAAGTCAACCTCATTTTTATATGGATACTCGTAGTTAAATGCAACAAAGTATGACTCAATCTCAGCCATCTCTCTCAACTATTCTCTACATCATAGCTACTAAAAAATATCCATAGTGTGGATATTATTGAAAATAAATTAATTGCTTTATGGACTTTGCGGAAAATGACTTATTAGAACATGAACAACTTTTAAAATGTGAATTACTAATATTGAAAATTATAACATTGTGCATGCATAATCAAACAATGTGACTTCCTCGAATTTAATTCTATGCAGAGAACACATGGAATGGTCACAATCTAGTTGGGTCAGTAATTAAAAAGAATAGCTATCCTATTTCGAACAAAGCTCTCTAAGTTTTTTTTTTTTTTTTGTAGCTTTTAAGATTAGGCACTTAACTAAAGGACCACTTGTTTAGTCATATCAAATTTAATTTCACCAATTAATTATACATTTCTCATAAGGCCTGGTCCCTGCTTGCTCACTGGATAAGCATTTCGGATTGAGTAATTGAATTGGTTTTATAAAGTGTCATCAAATTTGTCTCAATTTTTTTTGTTCAATTTAAATATTTGAAATATATAACTTTACTTAAGAGTAGCTATAATTAATTTTATGAAAGGATCTAACATCTGTAAGATCAACATCAATTCCAATAATTAACTTATGTACATCTGTTTCAGTTAATATATTGTTCGCCATGCATGCGAATATTTGTCGAGAGGAAATTAAATACTACCTCTAGTCCTTAATATAAAACTTTGTTTGATTTTTATTTTGATCCTAAATATAAGACCCCAATCTATTTTGTCTCTCATATTTATGTATTTTTTTCCAAGATAGTCCTTCTAACAATGGTAGTGTTAGCCAATATACTTGATTAGTAAAAATATTTTAGGAAAGAAAATACTTATTTATTACACATAACTAACTTAACTTCTTTTCTTAATCTCCTCAAATTAGTCAACTAGCTCTTATAATTAGGACCAGAGGTAGTATTGTTTTCAATTTAAATAACTAAAAAGAGAAGGCCATCTAAGTACTATTGTCAAACTCGCAAGTTGACTCTCCGAGTCTAACATTTTTATGTTTTCAGCTAATAAAATTGTGTCAACTCATTCTTAAACTCGTAATAACTGTAAACTCGGTTAAACTTACGAGTTTATTTATCAAGTTTACTGTTTTTATGTTTTTAGTTTACAAAATCATGTCAACTCGCTCTTAACCTCGTGATAAATTTTTGGATTTGATTATGTTCAGTGACTTTATATATGAATTTTATAGAAATTTCTTTGTTGAATATAGTAAATTATGAATATTGATGGATATAATTTCAATTATTTAAATTTAAAATATATTTAAATGAAATTGTTCTTATTTTTATATATATTAATTATTTGATTATATACTTTTAATATTAGTTTATTAATAAAAGTATACTTTTACGAATTCACGATTCGAGTTTACCATTATAATTTATATCATCATCACGAGTTTGTTTAAACTCGCGAGTTTGACAACCTTACATTTAACTATATTAATTAGCTAAATTAAAGATGAATCATATAACATCCAATCAATATCAATATTTCAATGTGCATGTGTAGTAAAATCTAAGGCACAATATTCACAAGATACTCCCTTCAGTCCCGTATATAAGAGAATTTAGAAAGCTTTCTCTAAATCCTAGATTAAAAAAAAAAACTACACAAATCTACTTCATATATTAAAAAGTTCTTCTCACAACCTTCATTGAATAAAAATTGGCCCTACGAGTGTCATTAAATATTTGGTAAAAGGTCAAAATTAATTAGGCATTTTAGAAAAAAGGGAAAATTATACTCCCTCCAACTTTATTTATAAGAAACATTTGATCAAATAAGGTAGATAAAAAAAGTTAGTTAAAATTCATTAAAGACAATAAATATGTACAAAATATAAGTTTTTTCTTAAAAATATCCTTCTTTATGGGGGAAGAGAATATAAAAAAGAATAAGAAAATTATTAAAATAAAGAGAATGGTGTTTCAAGAAATGAGATAACAACTACTCCTGTGGTCCAATTTATAAGGCAGAGAGAGAAAATATTTTTTGATCCTATTTATAGGACACTAAGAGAAAATTTTTGTATGTATATACAATTTTACCCTTCATTTATTATTATATTGAATTTATTTACATGAAGTATAATGTATGTTAAATAGGGATAAAGTTGGAAAGTTATTGAATTTTAAATGAGAGTTAATAAAGTTTAAAATTTTTCTTAGTTTGCTTGAAACATATTGGAAGTGACTTATAAATAGAGCCAAAAGAGTATATTGAATACTAAAATTAGTAATTAATAGGTGCAAAATAAAAAAACTAACAAAATTTTTTTAAAATATCTTGTAAATGGTTTTTTTTATAAATAAGGTCAAGAAACTTGTTAAAAAAAAAAGGAATAAGATAGAAATGATAGTTATTTCTTATCCAAAGAGGTTGAGGGAGTACTTTGTGACATATTGTAAAACAACATATATTTTCAACCATTTTTTTAATCATCGTTCATTATTTGTTTCCTATAGTATTAGGACCGGAGGGAGTACATACAAAAATAATAGGAAAAATCGCAAAAAAGACTGTCAAAATTAAAAAATTGCATACAAGGACCCATTCACAAAAATTGTTATCAAAACCCATACTAATGTTGTAATGGATCCCTATTTGTAATTTTTCTATTTCGGCTGTCTTTTTTTTGTGATTTTTCCAAAATAATATTACTTATTATGCTCATAATACTCCATCCAGTGCATAATATAAGACATTAATTAAAAAAAATTGTGATCTAAAATATAAAATGTTGTCAAGATA